TAAGAATTCAGAGGTACCTTGTATGTGATAAGTAATAGTTAGATAAATCCCAGTCCGGTGATCTGATGTCCGGTAACGATTACAAAATAGTCACTTATTTTGTTGTATTTACCTATTTTAACACATTTTTCTCGCCACCGATGCTGCCGCTTGTTTATTATATTATTACCTTACAGTTTTAGTTAGTAGAATAATTAACAAAATTGTGGGCAAGTGGGTCACTGTAATGGATAGTGTTAAATTTGAATTCAATGTATAATAACATTGTATAAGAAAAACGATATTGAGCGAAGACGGTTAGTCCGCCTATGATATTACTAACTAGGTACTAAGTGTATTTTATGCTGTTATTGTAAATAAAATAATTTATAATATATAACCTATTTACATGGAACCTTCTTTTAAATTTTCAATCCTTAACTATAAAAGTTGAATATTTTATACATTTAACTACAAAATCATTTTTCAATTTTAAATTTCATATATTTTATAAAAATTCGAACTTTAAATGCTTGTAAAAAAAATTCTGCCCATGTATTTTTAATATTTTTCAACTGCTATTGTAACAATATATCAGAAGCCTTGTATTAAATTTTCACTCTTTTTGAACCATCAAATACAATTTTATTGACAATTATAGAAAAAAACTAAAAAAATTGAAATTTTAAAATGTCTTTAAACAGATCTAAACGAATCAAAATATTTTGAAAATTGTATCAAGTATGGGAATTGATAAAATAAACATATGGTGTAAATTTCAAGTATCAACAGTTTTTCGTTTTTAAATTACAAAAAATTAAGAAAATTGCTGCTCGGGAAATCGAGTGAATATCCAATGTTGTAAGAATTTTTAATTTTGACATCCTCAATTCACCACCTAAATTCACTTTCCCATCGAACAAGACACTGAAGTTGACAGCCGAAGCATTATTTCGACTACTTATCCGTTATCGTGTACAAAGGAACAAAAAAATAAAGAAAAAAAACACACATCATTGTAAAGTCAATACATTCATCACTCCACTCAGAATCTAAAATCGTAAACCGTACTTGTTACACAAGCGCGTAAATAAACTATACAAAAAAAAAATTAATATTGATTATAAGTTATAACCAATGTTATTTCATTTGTCAGGTCTTTCTGTTGCCTTGTACCTATATATGTAATATATATCATATTATATTTTATTATTTATATTATTATCTTCTTTAAATAAAACAATAAAAAACCCATGGATTATGGAAATAAATACAAATATGTCAGATAAGACGTAATAATTGTAGTGTCATCGCCAGTCAATGGCAGTGGCAGTGGTGACTTCTAACTATATAAATTGCGGTTGTCATTTGTGAACTACCGTATATAAACTCATGTCGCAAAATATATTCATTTAAAAGTTTAAAGTTTATAGGTAGGTACCTATTTGGAATTTTTTTCTTATAATATATTAGGTAGGTATGTATAATATGTATATGTATATTATTTTTATTTTAACAATCAACATTGTAATCAATAATGAATAATTTATCGGTAAATCATAATATAATTAAAAACTAATATATATATGAATTGATTTATAATTATTAAAAGGTAATTTGTATTTACCTATATATAAAGATATGAAAACCAGAAGACATTTTTAGCTTTCAATAATTATTGACTTACAGTTTTGCCTTTAGTGATTTGAATAATACATTAATACACATTGGTATTTTTTGATTTTTTGATTTGGCTAAAAGACATCTACTCCTACGACATGTCTTAATTTATAACCTACAGCGAACGAAGTCTTAGTAAACAAATAATACTGACATAGAATAACTACCTACCTATATTAATATAATATTTTAATTTCAACTCTCAAGGTATAACGTAGAAATGCCAGATAGGTACCTAATAATTTTAGTAATACCTACTACACGAAAATTACGAAATATCTAAATATATATGTACCTACCAATAATTCGATGATGTTTATCTCGATAATGTATTATACACCGATATATGCGGCGGTACGCATAATATATTATATAATACGTCATAAACTTTTATTTTGAATTAGGTGATGGCAGTTTTCTACATTCACTTATTATTGCCGTATTGATGATACTGCAGCTGAAGGTATATATTAAAACAAACCGATTTAATTAAATCAAACTGATAAGTGTAAGGTGTAATTACAGTAGGTTTAATAAATTAATAAGCCATGTCAACAAATTAATTGATTTTAATTGACCAAAAAAAAAGAACCTATTTCAGAAAAAAATGTCCTAACAATATATTATTGTATTTTATTTTATCACCCCCCCCCCCCTAATGTCCACCAGGGCACCACTGATGCTGTCAAAGAACGTAAAATGCATAATACATTCTGGTTATAATATTGTGGTATATACAGACATATACTACAGTGGCGGTCAAATGACTTTGTCATGGGGGGATGTAGCAGTTTTTTAACAAACACTATTTATAAGAATCTATATTTTTAAACATAAAATTAATTAACAATACATATTTTAATTATATTATTAAATCTATTTTTCGGTTTTTCTTTGCCGATTCGTCCAGTACTTCGTCTGCGGTTATATTTACAACCCCACGATTAACAGCTATAGTGGCTAAGCCATTGAGACGGTTCTAAAATAATATAATTACAAAATTTATATTCAAACATAATGTATTAACATTTAAGCATTAACCACTAAATTTACATTTCAAATATTCTTATAATTTAACTATACCTAAAGGCTAAAAGAAATGAAAAAATCTAAAAAGTTAGTTTGAATTAATATTTTAGTGTTTTTGAACTGTTAATTTAATACTTATTCCAATAACCAATAACCAAAAGCATTTTCTTCCAGCCTAAATAATGTAGTATAGTAAGTACAGCATATTTACCTTTACCATTGTATTTCTTAAATATGTTTTCAGCCGTTTAAGGCATGAAAACATTCTTTCTGGTGTTGCGGTTGATACAGGAAGTGTACAAAATATTTTTAATAAAGAGTGCACATTTGGAAATAATTCAGGATTACATAATATCCTAATTGCATCTAGTCCATTTTTTGAAGATTTCCCTATACGTGAAAGTTTTGTTTTCCAAAGGCTCAATTCCGCTTTTACTATCTGAATATTAGTTGATTCATAATCATTTTAAAATAAACATTGAAAACCTTGAAAAGTAATTGTTAAATATCATTAAACTAAATTTACAATAAATACTTTAATTTTGGAAATAACAAAACACTAATTAATTATGTTTTATTATATTAATTATTTGATTTTTATATAGTATTGATAAAGTATTCCACTACTATATGTTGAAATATGAAACAAACCTCCAAAAATACTACGGTGAGCCAAAAACCTTTCTTCCAATTGATTTATAAAAAAGTCGATATAAGGGAGACAAATAGATACTCGAAAATACTTCTCAGGATCAACTGTAGAACCATCATTTCCTATAGTTGAATTATTTCTGTATGTTTGTCTCTTGTTAATCCGTTTGATTTTAATATGGAAATCCAAGAATTCAGCCATTTTCTAATCAAACATTAATACACAAATGATTTGTTGTCAAAAATGTACACTTCTAACTAAAAATATTCAAGTCTCAATCAAAGTGAATCATATTTACCTGTGCTTTTTTGAACATTTTATTAAACTCTGTATTAATATTACATCTTAGGTTTTTAAGTATTGTAATATTATCATCGGCAAGATCTATAGCTTCCTTTAAGTCAATGCCTTTACTTTGTAGTAATTTACACAATGGTAAACCATAAGAAAATAATAGCTAAAAAAATATATATTTTAAAATTATTTATGTAAATAAAATATAATAGTTTAAAGATTCTTTATTTACATTTACTACTTGAAGTGATACTAAAAATTCAGAATCAAGTGTGTAACGATTCTGAATGTACGGACCACTCCTTTCTCCGCTAGTCCGCGCCACCAATACTGCGCGCCCGAGTACCGATACGACATTTCGCTCGCGGACTAACGGTAGATCGCGCTCAAGGACAACTCATCATAGATCCGACTGGGGATCGCTGATTAAGGATACAATTGGTCCCTCCAGGGGGGATTAATGATAGCAAACTAGTAAGGGCATACATTCTGAACAGATTCCTATGTACATCCAAACCCCTATCGACCCGGAAAACCCTCAGCGGCATCGAAACGGGTATGTTGTCATTCGCTAGGCTGACAATCGGGAATAAGCGCAACAGCGCATATAGGAAGGCCCGACGGCCGGCTCACCGATTCCGTTTTTCCGACCAAAATACTGGTAGGAATAGACACCACCGTCCAGAGTCGTGGGTAAGGCTGTAAAACCCCTTACTGTCCGACTGCCTGGTACCGTGCCTATTCCCACCAGTAGTCGTAACTCTCTTTTTTCTGCGTCCGTATACGCCTATAAGACTCCTTACTTTCCAACCATATCAAACGGCGTAGTGTAACAGTCCGGGTACGGCATTAATACCCCGTACTGTCGATCGTTATACTACGATACGCGATTTGGTCGATGTGAAAGGAGTCTAGTAATTTACACTCTCTTATCGCTCTAAGAAGCAAGTAGTAAATTGTTAGGGTGCCGTTGAAGGTGAATCTATTGGCTACTGCTGCAAAAACTGTAAGTCGGATTTTTATTGTTATTTCCAATTATACTAAAACGTACCGAAGTTATATTTTGTTTGTATAAAATTTTACTTATTATAATTATTATATTTGAATTATATTTCTATCTTGATTTTACCCGTAATCGGACATCCGGGATAATTAAATTCGTATTACTACGTGTATATTATATTCTATGTTCTATATTGTATTTTGTTTTATGAATTTGTTTACGTCAATACAATAAATGATATTAACCTTAATGAATATGTGTTCCGTTCATTACATTTGGCGCCCAACGCGAAGCTCGAATTTTCACGACTACCACTAAGAATATCGTGCTCTACCTACTAAAAAACTACATCTATAAATCAACATGGCTCCGAAAAAGAGACTTGATAACAACGAAGAAAATATTATGGACAGAATTGAAGCATTAGAAAAATCTGTTGAAAACAGAATAAAAAATCTGGAGAATAAAATGAAAGGAAAATACGATGAAAAAATCGAGGAAATGAAAGAAAAATACAATGAAAAAACCGAGGAAATAAAAAGAAAATACGATAACAAACTGGAAGAAACAGAAAAAAAGAACGAAGAAAGAGCGAGAAAAGCTAAAGAAAATATGGAAGAAGAAATAGAAAAACTTAAACAGAGATGGGAAGAAATCTATAAGAAAAAGACGGAAGACAATGAAATCAGATATCAAAGGTACATGGACGAGATGGAAGAAAGATATTTAAATACGTTTCGCAACTTGGATGAAACAAGACAAACGCAACTCAGAGAAGAAAACTGTCGGCCTCAAAGACAAGCCACCGACTCCCAGAAGAAATTGCCATATTCAACGAACTATTATGGAAATATGAACACATATTCTCAGAGAATCCAGGCAAAATTGCAGACCATGAATGCCAAATCAAAATTATCCCTGGAGAGCCTATTTATCAAAAACCGTATCCTATACCTATCTCCAAATTAGAGAAAATGGATAAGGAAGTGGCACGGATGCTACACTTGGGGATAATTGAACCTTCAGATTCCCCATGGTCATCTCCCATTGTAGGAGTCGAAAAAAGAAACGGAGAGGTACGACTCTGCCTGGATGCGAGGAAAATTAACACCCGAATAGTCCCGGACCGAGAACGACCCACTAACATCGACGAGATCTTAATGAAGTTTCAAGGAGCCACATACATCACAAAACCCACGTTTTACGGAAATCGTCGGGACCAACACCCAAGAGATTTCGTAAGTGAACTACGGGAGTATTTTGCAATAAAACAGATTTACGATGAAGAAAAGCTGATTGTGGTAAAAGACTGTTTGAAAAGCACCGCGGGCAGTTGGTTTTTGGCAATAAGATTCCAACTTAGGAATTACGAAGAATTCGAAAGAGTATTTATCGATGAATACTGGTCCAAAGAGATTCAGATCCAGGTCTGGAGCCAATGCCTAAACGTCACACAAATCGCGGCTGACGTAAAATATCGGGAACACTTCATGTACTGGGCCACGAACCTCCGACACTTGGAAATGCCATACCTTAGCGAGGGTGAAATTGTACAAAACATTGCCGGACACTACCCCGGGTACTTAAGGGCAATACTGACCTCTCTACCACAAAAAACAATATTAAATGCGATGAAGGTCCTCGGAGCCGAAGAACATCGAAGGAGGGTACCAACGAGAGACAGTAATCCACGGAACGGCAATGACAATAATCAACGCCATAGCAACAATCCACGGAACACTAATGACAATAACTCACGTCATAACAATGGTGATAACAGACCAAACAACACCAATCAGCAATATGGTAGATGGCGGGAAAACCAAAATGGTAATACACAAAATGCAAAAAATAATAGAAACTTCAACCAACCAGGGCAAAACAGTAATCAATGGAGAGACCAACAACAAGTTCGACAGATAACAGTTGAAGAGAACGAGGGGGAAGAACCAGCAGAAGAAATCACACATACGATAAATAATATTCCCACGAACAAGAAGACCATCAGTCCATACCTACAATGCAACATAGAGGGAGAAAGAGTCAACCTACTAATTGACACCGGAGCCACGGTAAGCGTCTTGGCTAAAGAAGTCGTCGACCGCATACTGAAAAAGAACCCAAGTGTGCCCACACTACCGGTAAATGGAGTCCAGATCAGCAACGCAATCGGTAAGAAGCTATGTAAAGTTTCGAAGCAAATATACTGCTCATGCGAACTCAATGAAGCAGATATATTGGTAACATTTGTACAGATGGAAAATCTCAACGAACGGGGAATCATCGGTACTGACGTATTAGACAAGTATGACGCACAGATCGATTTTCAAAATAAAACGATCAGATGGCGTATCAATGAAAAGGAACATATAACACCATTCAGAGAACAGGAAACTAGTGAACCAGGGGACAGTACTGCACTCCAACAAGTTGAAATTGCCAAGGAAAGAATAAGTGAGGGAAAACTACTCCCAGAAGAAATTGCCATATTCAACGAACTATTATGGAAATATGAACACATATTCTCAGAGAATCCAGGCAAAATTGCAGACCATGAATGCCAAATCAAAATTATCCCTGGAGAGCCTATTTATCAAAAACCGTATCCTATACCTATCTCCAAATTAGAGAAAATGGATAAGGAAGTGGCACGGATGCTACACTTGGGGATAATTGAACCTTCAGATTCCCCATGGTCATCTCCCATTGTAGGAGTCGAAAAAAGAAACGGAGAGGTACGACTCTGCCTGGATGCGAGGAAAATTAACACCCGAATAGTCCCGGACCGAGAACGACCCACTAACATCGACGAGATCTTAATGAAGTTTCAAGGAGCCAGATACTTAAGTTCAATAGACCTAACGGCCGGATATTGGCAATGTACACTAAAGAAAGAATACAGGGGAATCACAGCATTCTTATACCGAGGAAGAAACTACCAGTTTAAAGTTCTCCCTTTTGGACTTGTAAACTCAGTAGCAGAGTTCCAGAAAATTTTAGACAAGGTCTTAGGATCGGAAGTATTACAATTCACCGCTGTATACGTGGATGATATCCACGTTACTTCGACTACTTTTTCAGAACATATGAACCGCCTAGAGAAAATTTTCCACCGTTTCCAGCAGTATAATGTAACAATCAATATGAAGAAATCACAATTTCTATGCAGTCAAATTATATTCCTGGGACATATAATCTCTGAAAAGGGACTTATCATGGACCCAGACAAAATAAAAGCAATACAGAACTTCCAAGAACCTAAGAGTAAAAAACAAGTGCAATCTTTTCTAGGGTTCATCAATTTCTACCGCCAATATATAAGGGATCTATCAAAATACACTACCGTTCTAAGCCAACTCACCAAAAAGAATGCCGAGTGGGAATGGAACGAAGAACAACGCGAGGCATTCCGAACTATAAAAGAACAGTTTTTGGATGATATAGTCCTTGAATATCCGGATTTCAAAAGAGAGTTTTATTTGGCCACCGACGCGTCAAAAACACACTTAGGAGCGGAACTATATCAACTGGACGAGGAAGGACGACATAGAACGTTAGGATTTGCTAGTCGAAAACTGCAAGACGCAGAACAGCATTACTATACTACTGAACTTGAATTATTAGCAATTGTTTTTGGATGCACCAAATATAGGAATTATATATTGGGGTATCGAGTAAATATTATTACAGACCACAAAGCACTGACGTTCCTCAATCAATGCCAACTACTGAATGCGCGGTTGATGAGATGGGCCATCAAACTACAAGAGTTCGACCTGCAAATAACCCATGTTCCCGGAAAGGACAACATTGGAGCAGACACTTTAACCCGCTACCCACAAAGTCCAGGGGACAGGGATGAAATACAAAAAACAACTATTTACATCAATAAAGTGCTACACAACCAGTATAGCACGAAGCTATTACGACAATTCGAACAGATGAAGGATCTCCAAGACCAAGATGAAGAGTTGAATATTATCCGAGACCGCATCAAAACGCATGAAACCCACAGGTACAAAATACACCAAGGATTACTCTTCTTCATTGATAAAGACGGAAGAGAGAAACTCACGCTCCCCAAAATTATGGTACAAGACATAGTGATAGAAACTCACGAATTATTCGGACATTTTGGAGCAACTAAAGTACACGACATGCTACGAAGAGAATATCAGATACACAAGATGTACCACACCATCAAACAAATAATCAAGCGATGTGATATATGTCAAAGAAGCAAGATCCCAAACCAAAATACTAGGGGACCGTTGATTGCAAACATTCCCGAGAAACCCAAAGAAAGGATTTCACTGGACTTGATGGGGCCGTTACCAAAAGGACAGTTTGGAAACCAATACATTTTAGTATTATTGGACCTATTTACGAAACATGTACAAATTTATGCTATGCGGAAAGCAACGGCCGGGAATATAATACGAAAACTGCGAGATAAGTACTTACCTGCCTTTGGTCCAGTACAGAGCATTCTCACGGACAACGGTACGCAGTTCCATAGCAAAGCCTGGGAGAAACAGATGAAATTATGGAAGATACGCCACATCGTCACAACTACCTACCACCCCGAAGGGAATCCGGTTGAAAGGACGAACCGGGAAATAGGTCGTATACTACGAACCTTTTGCTACCAGAAACATACCGCCTGGGTAGGACATTTACCAAGGATCGAGTATTGGCTCAACAATGTCACTCACTTATCCACAGGCTATACCCCACAAGAACTAGTCGATGGACGCCGACACAGTTTTCGACTGAACAAACTGATCCCGGCTGACGATCTATTGTTGAATGAAGAAAAGAATACTATTATACAACTGGCATATAAAAGACTAAAGAAGACCGCGCAATACCGGTGCGAATACCATAACAAAGGAAAGAAATTCCCTAATTATGTTCAAGGCCAACAAGTCCTCCTACGAGAACATAAATTATCGTCGCTAGAAGATAATACCATAAAAAAGTTCTTCTTGCTATATCGCGGACCATATCTTATCACTGAAGTACGAAAGAATAACACCGTAGTAGTAATCTCGGAAAATGGTCAACAGTCAACTCATAATTTCAAAAACATCAAGCTGTATGTACCTCCTGACCCCGGCAAGGAGATACAGAATTAACGCCCGAGACAAGAAACCAACCATCCACCACTACTATAACCATCACGCCCAGCACCAAGGCCACCACACTTCCAGTCCAGGGACCAAAACAAGGAAGGAGACTAGCTGATCCTACAAGCAAACGAAGTATCAAGAAGAAGAGTTTCGGATCCCTGCGCACTCGACCGCAGTAACACATTTAAAAAAAAATGTATATATCTTGCCATAAGCACCAATTTTATTGTTTAAACCTTAATAGTTTCATCTTGTTTTTATTTTTCCTAAATTGTATATTGTAAAACTTTCAAGGTTACGAAAATTTTAAAGTCCCATTTACTCAAAATAAAAAAGGGGACTATGTAACGATTCTGAATGTACGGACCACTCCTTTCTCCGCTAGTCCGCGCCACCAATACTGCGCGCCCGAGTACCGATACGACATTTCGCTCGCGGACTAACGGTAGATCGCGCTCAAGGACAACTCATCATAGATCCGACTGGGGATCGCTGATTAAGGATACAATTGGTCCCTCCAGGGGGGATTAATGATAGCAAACTAGTAAGGGCATACATTCTGAACAGATTCCTATGTACATCCAAACCCCTATCGACCCGGAAAACCCTCAGCGGCATCGAAACGGGTATGTTGTCATTCGCTAGGCTGACAATCGGGAATAAGCGCAACAGCGCATATAGGAAGGCCCGACGGCCGGCTCACCGATTCCGTTTTTCCGACCAAAATACTGGTAGGAATAGACACCACCGTCCAGAGTCGTGGGTAAGGCTGTAAAACCCCTTACTGTCCGACTGCCTGGTACCGTGCCTATTCCCACCAGTAGTCGTAACTCTCTT